TTTTTTGATCTGGACTGTAAGGAGGAAGCAACCTTAGCAGTGCACCAGTTTTTTTTTTTTTTTCTTGGATCTCAGCGACATGGTGTATTTTTTGCAAGTCAAGCATTTTTTTTTTTATATTTGTCCACGTGCTCCCAAAAGTATTCATTACGCATTCAGATTTTTTTTTTTGGAATCGGAAATTTCCTAAAAATATCAAAAAGACACGAGAGAATTTTTTTTTTTTCGTCAACTTTATTTCATGTGATCAGTGCAATTCGTATTTATTTGGAATGTTATGTGATCAAACTTTCTTGTATTTSAAATGCATGYACACACATAGCGCTTTTTTTTTTTCACATGCCCCCTCGATTTGTCATGAAGCTTACTGTATTATTAACTTTTTTTTTTTTTTTCCTCAGCGTTTAACACAGACCTATTTGCATGATGTCGGAATTTTTTTTTTTTGCAATGACCATAAAGCAAAAATACCAATGTAAAATTACTGGTGTTTTTTTTTTTACAAATCCAGCGTAAACACTAAGTACAGCGGCATTTGAAATATATTTTTTTTTTTCTATTTGTGCCAGTAGTTTTAGACAAGGTTTTTATTATTAAATATTTTTTTTTTTCCTACAAAAAGTTTTAATCTAATTTTTTTTAATCCAATTGTTTATTTTTTTTTTTCGCGAACGACGCCATTTTGCGGAATAAATCCAATATTCACCTATTTTTTTTTTTTGCTCATTGAAGCGTCAAATTCGACCAATCAGCGCACTAGAATTATTTTTTTTTTTTATGAAATTATACTAATTAACAATTATTCGCCAAATATTCATTGTTTTTTTTTTTGACTGAGGTGAATAATTGTTTTAGTATAATTTCATAAGTGAAAATTTTTTTTTTTAGAGAAAAAAGAACTACTGCATTTTCGTAAAATGTTATGTGGCGGGGATTGAAGAGGGAGGTCGAGGGCCGCTCGGATTGACAGCAAAGTCGTCTTCTTTTTTTTTTTTTCATTTTTCTTCCTTATGGGCACGTAAAACGTTGATAGACACTTGTTTTTTTTTTTTGTATCCATGTCTTCAAAGCTGACAGTAAATTCAGACTGTTGTTTTTTTTTTTTTGTCAAAAAAATGTATCGACTAAAATGTAAACAAACCAGGCGAAATTTTTTTTTTTTCAGCCTGTTTTACGTTAAAAGATAGATAAAAAAGTAGTTTTAGTTTTTTTTTTTATTATCAAATAAACAAAACTTACCTACAAAAAGTTTTAATCCAATT